TAAAAAAAAATTTTTTTAACTTTTATTTATTTTTGAGACAGAGAGAGACAGAGCTAAAAAAATTTTTTTAAAGAAGATGTGGTTTATATATCCAATGGAGTATTACTCGGCAATCAAAAAGAAAGAAATCTTGCCATTTGCAACTACGTGGATGGAACTGGAGGGTATGATGCTAAGTGAAATTAGCCAGAGAAAGACAAATATCATATGAATTCACTTATATGAGGACCTCAAGATAAAAAACAGATGAACATAAGGGAAGGGAATATATAAAAACAGGGAGGGAGACAAAACATAAAAGACTCTTAAATAGAGAACAGGGTCACTGGAGGGGTTGTGGGAGGGGGGGATGGGCTAAATGGGTCAGGGGCATTAAGGAATCTACTCCTGAAATTGTTGCACCATATGCTAAGTAACTTGGATGTAAATTAAAAAATAAATAAATAATTTAAAAAAAACCCTTCTGATCTGTGAAAGACACAGTTAAGAGGACACGGAGGAACCTTAAATGCATATTACTAAGTGAAAGAAACCACTCTTTTTAAAAAATGTTTATTTATTTTTGAGAGAGAGAGAGAGAGAGAGAGAGAGAGAGAGAGACAGACAGACATAGGGGAGGGGCAGAGAGAGAGGGAGACACAGAATCCGAAGCAGACTCCAGGCTCTGAGCTGTCAGCACTGAACCCAACCTGGGGCTCAAACTCGTGAATGGTGAGATCATGACCTGAGTCGAAGTCAGACGCTTAACTGACTGAGCCACCCAGGCGCCCCAAAAGAAATCACTCTTAAAAGGTGACATACTGTAGAATTCCAAGTCTATGACATTCTGGAAAAGGCAAAACTATGGAGACAGTAAAAGGATCAGTGGTCGCCAGGGATTTGGGGGTGGGCATGAGTAGGTATTGTGCGGAGGACTTTTAGGGCAGTGACACCATCCTGTGATATGTAATGGTGACATTATACATTTGGCAGAACCCAAAGAAGTGTCCCATACAAAGAGCAAACCCTAATGTAAACTGCAGATTTTAATAATAATGTGCCAATATTAGCTCATCAGTTGTAACAAATGTACCATGCCAGAGCAAGATGCTAACTATACGGACAGAGGGCAGGGAATAAAGGGAATATATAGGAACTCTCTGTACTCTCTGCTCAATTTTTTTGGTAAACTTACAACTGCCTTAAAAAATAGTGCCCACTAATTGAAAATAGGGGCGGGGGGGGGGGGGGGCGTGCGCGTGTGTGCTACAGAAACATCTCAGGCTCCACTTAATGACATTATTTCTCATGAGCATCAAAAATTTTGGAAAAAAATTTATAACACCTGATTGATTAGAAATAGTCAAATGTCCGAATGAAGGCAGGGCACTAATGGTCATTCGCGTGTCTAGAGGAGGAAGCCATGGTGTGCTAAAGTGGACAGGACACTCACAGGCAAAGTCCTGCCAGGCTGGGCTGTATCTTAGCTCCCCACCTGGTGGCAGGTGTCCAGTCCTAAGGCATTAGTTTGAAATGTTGCCCTGAATTTCATTGGACGGGCTAATTCTTGCAGGTCTGAAGCTGCATAAAAAGAAGGTACAATCATTTTTGGTAGGGGTGGTCTCATGAAAGTCTCTCCAGACTTTAGTTTCCTTAGCTGCAAATGAGGGTGAGAGAATTTGAATTCAAATGAAATATTTGGGGCACATTAAGAAAGATAACTTAAATACGTATAGGAGATAAAGGGTCTTGGACTTGGGGTTCTCACTCAATAAGGGAATTTCAAATTTCTCAACCGATCCTAACAGGCAGTAGTGGCAAACGTGTCCTGTAGGAGGTTAAGTAGGAGGTGCTCCAGACTGTGCGGCCACACCTGTTCACTGCCGTTCAGCCGCTGTAGCAGCAAGCAGCCGCACTGCCCGGCCACGCATCAAGGACAGAGCGTGAGCTGGACAGTCACTGGTCAGCAAGAAATGGACAATGGTCTGGAATTACCCTTGGAGCACCTGGGTAGCTCAGTTGGTTAAGCCTCCGACTTCAGCTCAGGTCATGATCTCATGGTTCATGAGTCTAAGTCCTGCATCGGGCTCTGTGCTGATGGCTCAGAGCCCGGAGCCTGCTTTGGATTCCGTGTCTCTCTCTCTCTTTCTGCCCCTCCCCTGCTTACTCTCTCTCAAAAAAATGAATAAACATTAGAAAAACCATTTTTTAAAATAAATAAACGTTTGGAATTACCCTTAACCAGGGTCCCAGACTTCTTGTGTCTGTGGCCTGACATGTAAATTAGCTCAAACCCTTTCTTTAGATGTCAGTGGAAGTTTATCAGTTGTGTTTGTTAGAATATCACAGGAAGGTGGTGCCTTAGAAAATTGTTTTAAGCCGTGCAAGTAAAATGAAGCAGAAGCCCACACTCAGTTGGCTGAGGTTAAGATGAACATCTCCCCTCACTGAGTGAGCCCGATGGGTGGTCTCCTATGTGGGAGCAGATGTCTTAGGTAATTGCTGGCTGCCCCCCCCCCCCCCCCCCACACACTCCCTTTTGGCTTTGACTTAGTGTTTTTAGCTTAAGTCTCCCTCTGAGGAGAACAATGTGGCATTAGGGACATTAACACAAAATGCTAAATGCTTGGGACTTGTTGAGACCCATTCTCAGTAGATGAAGGGACTCATCCAACTTGCCCAGGAAGCGCCAGGCGGGGACAGAAATTCTAGCATCTTTTTGGCACGTGCGCTTGTGCCCTGTGTCCAAAGAAAGCTGTGGCGACCATGAGATGGTTCGTGGTTCTCCTTGCATCCCCGGCCTCCTCCCGAGGGAGATGCAGTGATGCTAGAACAGACAAAAGGGGAAAGACACTTGGCTCCCTGCCTGAACAGAGAAACTAACACTCAGAGGAAGAGAATCCGAAAGCAGGCTGAGATACATACACACCCACCACACCATCTTTGAGCCAAATACGGAAATACAGCGACGTGGTGAGAACATTATGGTAACATTAACACATAATGAGAAAATTATGGAAAAGATGCTCCTCTCCTTGGAATATGGAACCGAGAAAAACCAAGGGGAGATCGAGGATTGTATACGCATCTGGGCAGACGAGTGAGTCATGACAGATGGTTCTCAGTCCTGCAGTTAATTGCTGTACACAAGCGTGAGGGCTTTGTCCTTTAAAATTTTAAATTCTGTCTTGTAACCTCCATACGGTCGCCTGTCATTTGCACAGTTTTCTGTTAAGTCCTGCCTTATTTATTACACTCCAAACAATATTTGCAGAGCGTGTAACGAACTGGTACCAGGGAACATACTCATTAGAATCTTGTTTCTGAAAGCGATTGCTGAGTGTCCCGGAGCATCATCCGCATTCCTGAAACCCCGATACTCACAAAATACAGAGTTGCCACAGAGCAGATTCGCTCCATTTTCCAACATCACACGACGATGACGCTCCGCACTCGTTCAGGCACACCTCGTTTTACTGCTTCGCCTTGTGGTGCTTGGCAGAGCACGTGCTTGTTACAAACTGCAGGTTTGTGGCAACCCTGAGTCCAGCAAGTCTGTTGGCACCACTTGTTTCCAAAAGCACCTGCTCACTTCGTGTGTCTGGGTCACATCGTGGTAATTCTCACAATATCCCAAAGGTTCTCGCTATCGCTATATTTGGCGTAAGGATCTGTGATCAGTAATCTTCGATGTTATCACTGCAGGTGTTTTGGGGGCATCACAAAGTATGCACGTGTGACAGCAAAGAGGGTGGATAAATGCGTGTGTGTTCTGATGGCAGACGTGTGGCAACGGGAGAACCGGAAGCAGAAGGGGGGCCTGAAGACGGCAGGGAGCTGGGCCACCTCAGGATACAACTCCAACGGATGGGGACTTGCTTCCCGTGGATGAACAAAGAAAGTGGTTTCCTGAGACGGAGTGTGCTCCTGGTGACGATGCTGTGAAGAGTGTCAAAATGCCAACACGGAATTGAGAATATCACACGAACTTAGCTGACAGAGCAGCGGACAGGGTGTGACAGGATAGACTCCGGGTTTGAAAGAAGTTCTGTGTGTAAAATGCTACCAAACAGCATCACGTGCTACAGAGAAATCGTTCTTGAGAGAAGAGTCAGTCAACGTGGCAAACGTCACAGTTGTCTTATTTCCAGAGATGGCCACAGCCGCCACCTCCCTGCGGGGTCAGCCGCCACTGCCCTGAGGGGTCAGCAGGCTTCAACGCTAAGGGAAGACCCTCCACCAGCAAAAAGATCGTGGCTCGCTGAAAACCCAGACAGATGATGGCTAGTGCTTCTTAACAGTAGAGTATTTATTTATTTTTGTTTTTTTAAGTGTATTTATTTATTTTTGAGAGAGAGAGAGAAAGAGAGAGAGAGGCAGAGAGAGAATTCCAAGCAGGCTCTGCCCTGTCAGCACAGAGCCCAAATTGGCGCTCAATCCCACAACTGTGAGATCATGACCTGAGACGAAATCAAGAGTCAGACGCTCAACCGCCTGAGCCACCCAGGCGGCCTAACAATAGAGTATTTTAAATGTTTTTAAAAAATTTTTTTAAATGTTTATTTATTTTTGAGAGAGACAGAGACAGAATGCAAGTGGGTTAGGGGCAGAGAGAGAGGGAGACGCAGAATCCGAAGCGGTTTCCAGGCTCCGAACTGGCAGCACAGAGCCCGACGCGGGGCTTGAACCCAGGAACCATGAGATCATGACCTGAGCCGAAGTCAGACGCTCAACCGACTGAGCCACCCAGGCGCCCCTGTTTGTTTTTTTTTTTTTTTAAGTAGGCTTCACGCCCAGCGTGGGGCCTTACACAGGGCCCAACATGGGGCTTGAACTCACAATCCCGGGATCAAGACCTGAGCCGAGATCAAGAGTTGGACACTTAACCAACTGAGCCACCCAGGCGCCCCAACAATGGATTATTTTTATTTTTTATTTTTAAATTTACTTTTACTTATTTTTTGGAATATTTTTAAATTAAGCTACGAACACTGTGTCGTTAGACATAATGCTATTGCCCATTTCACAGACTACAGTACGGTGTAAACATAACTTTATGTGCACCAGGAAAGCAAAAAGTTCACTTGACTCTCTTTATTTCAATATTCACTTTATCCCAATGGACTGGAACCAGATCCACAACATTTCCAACGTGTGCCCATCATTTTTCCCAATTTTGCACACATTGTAAAAAAGCTTAGCAACATCATTATAACTTACGTCATCTCACCAACAGCAGCCCCGCACACAAGTTCCTATTGGCGAATCTTTGCTTGTGGTTCCGCTGGTTGCCTCGGCCTCACAGAGGGCAGCGTGGCTCCAGAGAAACTGCCTTCTTCTGTTACCACAGCATGGCGCCCACAGCTCTGTTCTTGTTTCCTGTTGCTTCTTTGGACTGGTAGTTTGTGAGAATCAGGGTCCTCCTTGATAAGACCCACAGCAAGGCTGTGCCTCATCCCATGAGTCACTGCACTGTAATTTAAAACAAAAACAAAATTTTTTTAACTTTTTTTATTTTTATTTTTTTATTTTTTTTTATTTATATATGAAATTTATTGTCAAATTGGTTTCCATACAACACCCAGTGCTCATCCCAAAAGGTGCCCTCCTCAATACCCATCACCCACCCTCTCCTCCCTCCCACCCCCCATCAACCCTTAGTTTGTTCTCAGTTCTCAACAGTCTCTTATGCTTTGGCTCTCTCCCACTCTAACCTCTTTTTTTTTTTTTTTCCTTACCCTCCCCCATGGGGTCCTGTTAAGTTTCTCAGGATCCACATAAGAGTGAAACCATATGGTATCTGTCTTTCTCTGTATGGCTTATTTCACTTAGCATCACACTCTCCAGTTCCATCCACGTTGCTACAAAAGGCCATAGTTCATTTTTTCTCATTGCCACATAGTATTCCATTGTGTATATAAACCACAATTTCTTTATCCATTCATCAGTTGATGGACATTTAGGCTCTTTCCATAATTTGGCTATTGTTGAGAGTGCTGCTATGAACATTGGGGTACAAGTGCCCCTATGCATCAGTACTCCTGTGTCCCTTGGATAAATTCCTAGCAGTGCTATTGCTGGGTCATAGGGTAGGTCTATTTTTAATTTTCTGAGGAACCTCCACACTGCTTTCCAGAGCGGCTGCACCAATTTGCATTCCCACCAACAGTGCAAGAGGGTTCCCGTTTCTCCACATCCTCTCCAGCATCTAGAGTCTCCTGATTTGTTCATTTTGGCCACTCTGACTGGCGTGAGGTGATACCTGAGTGTGGTTTTGATTTGTATTTCCCTGATAAGGAGCGACGCTGAACATCTTTTCATGTGCCTGTTGGCCATCCGGATGTCTTCTTTAGAGAAGTGTCTATTCATGTTTTCTGCCCATTTCTTCACTGGGTTATTTGCTTTTCGGGTGTGGAGTTTGGTGAGCTCTTTGTAGATTTTGGAGACTAGCCCTTTGTCCGATATGTCATTTGCAAATATCTTTTCCCATTCCGTTGGTTGCCTTTTAGTTTTGTTGGTGGTTTCCTTTGCTGTGCAGAAGCTTTTTATCTTCATAAGGTCCCAGTAATTCACTTTTGCTTTTAATTCCCTTGCCTTAGGGGATGTGTCGAGTAAGAGATTGCTACGGCTGAGGTCAGAGAGGTCTTTTCCTGCTTTCTCCTCTAAGGTTTTGATGGTTTCCTGTCTCACATTCAGGTCCTTTATCCATTTTGAGTTTATTTTTGTGAATGGTGTGAGAAAGTGGTCTAGTTTCAACCTTCTGCATGTTGCTGTCCAGTTCTCCCAGCACCATTTGTTAAAGAGACTGTCTTTTTTCCATTGGATGTTCTTTCCTGCTTTGTCAAAGATGAGTTGGCCATACGTTTGTGGGTCTAGTTCTGGGGTTTCTATTCTATTCCATTGGTCTATGTGTCTGTTTTTGTGCCATATTTTTTATTTTTAAAAATTTACATCCAAATTAGTTAGTATATAATGAAGCAATGATTTCAGGAGTAGATTCCTTAATGCCCCTTACCCATTTAGCCCATCCCCCCCACAACCCCTCCAGCAACCCTCAGTTTGTTCTCCATATTTATGAGTCTCTTTTGTTTTGTCCCCCTCCCTGTTTTTATATTATTTTTGTTTCCCTTCCTTTATGTTCATCTGTTTTGTCTCTTAAAGTTCTCATATGAGTGAAGTCATATGGTTTTTGTCTTTCTCTGACTAATTTCACTTAGCATAATACCCTCTAGTTCCATCCACGTAGTTGCAAATGGCAAGATTTCATTCTTTTTGATTCCCGAGTTATACTCCGTTGTATAGATATGCCACATCTTCTTTATCCATTCATCCATCGATGGACATTTGGGCTCTTTCCATACTTCGGCTATTGTTGATAGTGCTGCTATAAACATGGGGGTGCATGTGTCCCTTTGAAACAGCACACCTGTATCCCTTGGATAAATGCTGAGTAATGCAGCTGCTGGGTCGTAGGGTAGTTCTATTTTTAGTTTTTTGAGAAACCTCCATACTGTTTTCCAGAGTGGCTGCACCAGCTTGCATTCCCACCAACAATGCAAAAGAGATCCTCTTTCTCTGCATCCTCGCCAACATCTGTTGTTGCCTGAGTTGTTAATGTTAGCCATTCTGACAAACGTAAGGTAATATCTCATTGTGGTTTTGATTTATACTTCCCTGATGATGAGTGATATTGAGCATTTTTTCACGTGTCGGTTGGCCATCTGGATGTCTTCTTTGGAGAAGTGTCTATTCATGTCTTTTGCCCATTTCTTCACTGGATTATTTGTTTTTTGGGTGTTGAGTTTGATAAGTTCTTTGTAGATTTTGGATACTAACCTTTCATCTGATATGTCATTTGAAAATATCTTCTCCCATTCTGTCGGTTGCCTTTTAGTTTTGCTGATTGTTTCCTTTGCTGTGCAGAAGCTTTTTATTTTGATGAGGTCCCAGTAGTACATTTTTGCTTTTGTTTCCCTTGCCTCTGGAGACGTGTTGAGTAAGAAATTGCTGCAGGCAAGATCAAAGAGGTTTTTGCCTGCTTTCTCCTCGAGGATTTTGATGGCTTCCTGTCTTACGTTGAGGTCTTTCATCCACTTTGAGTTTATTTTTGTGTATGGTGTAAGAAAGTGGTCCAGGTTCATTCTTCTGCATGTCGCTGTCCAGTTTTCCCAGCACCACTTGCTGAAGAGACTGTCTTTATTCCATTGGATATTCTTTCCTGCTTTGTCAAAGATTAGTTGCCCATACGTTTGTGGGTCCATTTCTGGGTTCTCTATTTTATTATTCCATTGATCTGAGTGTCTGTTCTTGTGCCAGTACCATACTGTCTTGATGATTACAGCTTTGTAGTATAGCTTGAAGTCTGGGATTGTGATGCCTCCTGCTTTGACTTTCTTTTTCAAGGTTGCTTTGGCTATTCGGGGTCTTTTCAGGTTCGGTACAAATTTTGGGATTATTTGTTCTAGCTCTGTGAAGAATGCTGGTGTTACTTTGATAAGGATTGCGCTGAATATGTAGATTGCTTTGGGTAGTATTGACATTTTAACAATATTTGTTCTTCCTATCCAAAAACAAAAATATTTTTAATGTTTATTATTTACTTTTTGAGAGAGACAGAGTGTGAGTAGGGGAGGGGCAGAGAGAGAGGGAGACACAGAATCCGAAGCAGGCTCCAGGCTCTGAGCTGTCGGCACAGAGCCCGACACGGGGCTCGAACTCACAAACCGTGAGATCGTGACCTGAGCCCAAGTCGGATGCTTAACCGACTGAGCCACCCAGGAGCCCCAATGATATTTAAAGTGAGCTCAGAGTTACCTGACCCCAATTTGATAGCAAGATGCAGAGAAATCTACTTAGAAATGTGACCCAGGCAATTCCTGGTGTGGCTCACTTTCCTCCCGGGGGTCTTACCGAGCAGGGCTCCCTCCCTCTGCGGCAGTGCTGGCTCACTTTGCCTACGGTCTCCTTCTGCATAATTTTCCTTTGAGGAGGGGTGAGGAAGGCGGGAGAGTGGGAGAAGAGGGGAAGGAGAGGAAGTCACACCATGTTGCTTCTCTCTCATGTTGGGCATGAGGATGGTCCTGCCCAGGACATGACTTATTTTACGTCTTGGGTGTGGGTGCTACACTGAGCCTCCTCCGTGAGCTGGAACGTCACCATGGCACTTCTGGAAAAGAGATTCGATGTCACCTCTGATGGCAAGTAAGCGAGAAACACAAGGGCAAAAATGATCATCAGGCAGACGATGAGGACAAAGGACACTGGAAGCCATCATTTCTGAAGTGATGGTCAGAGAAAGAAATAAGGTTCTAATCTCAGAACACCCCCAAACAAGGGGGGAGGGTTGGTGAACAAGTCCCTCTTCCCATCACGTGCTGTTGAGAAAGGGCGTGAAAGAGTGGAAGATACAAAGGAAGGGAAGAGAAGAGAAGCCTGAGCTCTGCTGCAGGGGGGGGGTGGGAAGGGGTCCCTGGGGCCTCCAAGCTCAACCACTTGTGTCTTCAAGCTGAGAAAAAAGTAGAGAAAAGGCAAAAATCTATGAAGTCTCATGAATAAATAGATGCTTAATGGGAGGGAAGAGAAAAGAGACTCCCAGACTTCTCCCTGGAAGAAGGAGGGATGGGGGAGAAGGAGAGAGCCCCACTGGCAGGAATGAGGTTCAGCCCCAGCCCAGGATGAAGTGAACCCCAGAAGCCAAGGCAGGCAGAGTGAGGGATCCCCAAGCAGGGGGAGTGGAGGGTACCAACCCCCAAGCCAAGGATGAACTGGCTTTGGCATTCAATTTAACTTGAGTGTGAGCCGAGCTGCCCCACGTCCACGTGGCCACAGCCCAGGAAGGCAAGGACACAGAGGTGGCCATGCCCCGTGGTCTGGAGGGGGGGGACCCTGGGGTCCTTTCAGAGATGAGGGCTGCCTCGGGGCAGCAAGACTTTAAGATGGCAAAGTGGAAGCTTCTCAGACCTCTCTTTTCTCTTCACCCTTAAGAAAATGGTCAATTAGGAACAGAAACAGAAATCCCATCACATAAAGAACATAAGAGAACTGAAATAACGGAAGACAACACCTCTACTGCCACATCCTGATGTCCTTGAAGCAGGGCGGCCCGAGGCAGGGGAGCTCAGACACCACGAGAACACGACAAGGGCAGGGGAGTGGGGAAACGGCCCAGACAAGCCGCGTTCCTGTGGTATGCCACCCAGCGAGGCTTGTTGAGTTTCAGAGTATTTGATGAGAAATCTTGGGGTAAAAAGCTATACTGATGTAAGTCCTTTGGAAGTACAAATGCTGTGATGGCTACTAGGAGCATGAGCAGAAAGGAAGGAGAGCGGTTGCCATGGGAGCGCTCGGAGCCAAGAACAAGACTTGGGGCCTGGGCTCACGTGCATCTAATTAGTCTTATCTTCAGTGTCTGCAGGAAGAGCTCCCAGGTCAGGGGCTTTCAAGCTGTTTGTTCTGGACCATCAACAAGAAATACATTTTTTAAAAAGTTTATTTATTTATTTTGAGAGAGACAGAGAGAGAGAGAGAGAGAGAGAGAGCACAAGCAGGGGAGGGGCAGAGAGAGAGGGAGAGAGAATCCCAAGCGGGCTCTGCACTGTCAGCACAGAGCCCGACGCGGGGCTCAAACTCAGGAACCATGAAGATTTATGACCTGAGCTGAAGTTGGACACTTAACTGACTGAACCCCCCAGGCGCCCCTAAAAGTGCACACTCTTATGACATAAGATTCATTCTGATGTTTTCTACATAGTTTCATTCTGCTTTATTTTTCAAACACAGCTGTGGTGATAAGACGATCCCCAGTGATCTCCACCTCCTGGAGTCCACACCTTTTGATAATCCCCTCCCCTGACTGAGGGCAGGACCTGCAACTCAACATCTCCAACCATTGGAAACACAAACCAAAAGCACAATGAGATACCACCTTTCACCCATTAAGAGGGCTACCATCAATACACTACAAAGTACCAAGTATTGGCAAGGATATGGAGAATGGGGACACTTTGCACTGTTAATGGAAATGAAAATGGTTTAAAAACTTCTTACCAGACATGTCACCAGAGGCAAGGGAAACAAAAGCAAAAGTGAACTACTGGGACCTCATCCAAATAAAAAGCTTCTGCACAGCGAAGGAAACAATCAGCAAAACTAAAAGGCAACCAATGGAATGGGAGAAGATATTTGCAAATGACATATCTGATAAAGGGCTAGTATCCAAAATATATAAAAAATTTATATAACACCCAAAAAACAGATAATCCAGGTTTAAAATGGGCAGAAGACATGAATAGACGCTTTTCCAAACAAGACCTCCAGATGGTCAACAGACACATGAAATGATGTTCAACATCACTCACTGTCAGGAAAATAGAAATCAAAACCACACTGAGATACCACCTCACACCTATCAAAATGGCTAAAATTAACAACACAAGAAAAAATAGGTGTCGGTGAGGATGTGGAGAAAGGGGAACCATTTTGCACTGTTGGTGGGAATGCAAACTGGTGCAGCCGCTCTGGAAAACAGTATGGACTTTCCTCAAAAAATTAAAAATAGACCTGCCCTACAACCCAGCAATTGCACTACTAGGTATTTACTCAAAGAACATAAAAATACTAATTCAAAGGGATATGTGCACCTCAATATATATAGCAGCATTATCAACAATAGCCAGATTATAGAAGCAGCCTGTGTCCATTGACTGATGAATGGATAAAGGAGATGTGGTATACATATACAATGGAATATTACTCACCCATCAAAAAGAATGAAATCTTGCCATTTGCAATGGCATGGACAGAGCTAGAGAGTATCATGATAAGTGAAATAAGTCAGTAAGAGAAAGACAAATACCATATGATTTCACTTATATGTGGAATTTAAGAACAAAACAAATGAGCAAAGGGTGGGGGCGGAGAGAAAGAGAAACCAACCAAGAAACAGACTCTTAACTGCAGAGAACACAAGGATGGTTACCAGAGGGGGGTGGGGGCTGAGTTAAATAGATGTGGGGCTTAAGGAGGGCACATGTGATGAGCACCAGGTGATGTGTGAAAGTGTTGAATTGATATATTGTATACCTGAATCTAATATTACATTGTTTGTTAACTGGAATTTAAACAAAAACTTAAAAATATATTTATTAAAAATGGCTGAGATATTAAAATTTGTGTCTATGTATTTCACTGTAATTTAAAATAATTTTTAAAAACTCTGATAGAGCCACTCACCTGGGAGGCTCAGTCGGCTGAGTGTTCAAGTCTTGATTGTGGCTCAGGTCATGATCCCAGGTCGTGAGAGCGAGCCCTGTGTTGGGTGGGCTCCTTGCTGGACATGAAGCCTCCTGAAGATTCTCTTTCGCCTTCTGCTCCTCTCCCACTCATGCTCTCCTCTCTAAAAACAAAACAAAACAAAAACAAACTCAGATGGAATCACAAAGCAAAACCCAATGTGTATGTCACATAAAAGAGATTGGCCTAAAATAAAGTAACTTACATACTGCAGTAAAGGATGGGAAAAGTCACACCAGACAAATGAAAATAAAGAGAAAGCAGAGGTTACAATGCCACCGTCAGAGGTGGTTGCATTTAGGACAAAGAGTGCTCACTGTGATGAAGGAAGGCCATTTGTAAATGACAAAGTAGCCCAGCATCAGAAAATGTTATTCAAATGCTCCAAGAAAGACAAGAAGCCACTGATAGAAATGTTTTGGAAGTAGGAGGCTTTCATTTACTCCTCTTGGTCCATGGTAAATCAGATAGGGAAAAATAATAATTAAATCTAAAAGACCCTGAAGGATATAAAAAATAAGGTAGACCTGGGGTGCCTGGTTCTACCAGTCAGTTATGCTTTTGACCTTGGTTTCTGCTCAGGTCACGATCTTAGATTCACGTGATGGAGCCCTGTGTCAGGCTCTGTGCTGACAGCATGGAGCCTGCTTGGGATTCTCTCTCTGTTCCTCTCCTTCTCTCTCCCTCTCTCTCTAAAAATAGATAAATAAACTTAAAAAAAAAAAAAGGTAGACCTAATTGATTCACATAAACTCCATTCACTATTAACAAAGAATACTTCTTGTTAAGTGCTTATAAGACAGTCAAGCACATTAACCATATATTTGGCTAGTCCATAAACTAGAAGTCTTTTCTCACAATTTATAACTACTTGTTCATAAATAAGGTAATTGTACTATTGACAGTTTTTAATTATTAAAGTAAATACAGGGGTGCCTGCTGGCTCAGTCGGTAGAGCCTGCAGCTCTTGGTCTCGGGGTTGTGAGTGTGAGCCCCATGTTGGGTGTAGAGATTGCTTAAATAAATAAACTTAAACAATTTTTTAACACAAAAAGTTTTAATCCTTTCTTTTTGCTTCCTGAGAACACATCTTTTGCATCCTTCTGTGAAAGCTTACGCACTGAACACAAAGATTCATCAAAAACGGCAAAGACCTCAAGAGACGGCCTCAGGAAAAACACAAAGGCTACACATGGCTTTCTCTGGTCTCAGGTCAGGACAATTAGAATTAATTTTAAAAATTAGGAAAAAAAAAGTGTTACCTGTATATTTTCTAAAATCTCTTAATACATTCGGGCCAAAGAAGAAATTGTGATAGTTGATAACAATAGCCCTGATACTAAAGCTAAAGCATTGCTCAGAACAATTCATAGTCAAGTATTAATTTTAATAAGCGAAAAATCATTTAAACATTCAACTCTAGGAGTTAGAAAACGAACAATATTTTACAACTAAAGAAACTAAAGGGTGGCTGGCTGGCTCAGTTGGTACAGCATTTAACTCTTGATCTTGGGGTGTGAGTTTGAGCCCTACAATGGGTGTAGGGGCTACTTAAAAATAAAATCTTTAAAAAAATGAAAATAATCAAAACAACTAAAGAAACTAGAAGGAATAAATTAATACATATAGAAAAGAGGAAAATGGTAAAACTAATAAATCTAGTATCAGCTAAAGTATATAAAAGAATACTCATAAATAAAACAGATTATTTCTTTTCAAAAAAAATTTTTTTTTCAACGTTTATTTAATTTTTGGGACAGAGAGAGACAGAGCATGAACGGGGGAGGGGCAGAGAGAGAGGGAGACACCACAGAATCGGAAACAGGCTCCAGGCTCTGAGCCATCAGCCCAGAGCCTGACGCGGGGCTCGAACTCACAGACCGCGAGATCGTGACCTGGCTGAAGTCGGACGCTTAACCGACTGCACCACCCAGGCGCCCCAAAAACAGATTATTTCTAAAAATGAAACCCTAGCCTTTCCCTCCTGCTTTAGGGAAGAGCCTCAGCTCCGTGTCCTGTGCGTTTCTGCCCTGGGGACACCCTGACTCACACCTCCAGTCGCCAGATGTGTGGACAGTTCCCCCACACCAACAAACAATTCTCAGACACCAGCAGGGTGTCCTAAAATTCAACTCAATTCTGTCACCATCTACCCCAAGGTGGCATCAGATCCCACAGGCTAAGGGCTGAGTCCCCATCCCCTACATCAGATGCCAGAGTAAGTCCAGGTTGTCACCTGAACTTCTGACCGACAGGATATAAATCAGAGGTTCCCATGACCCCCTCCTCAGGTTCCATTAATTTGCTAGAGTGACTCACAACTCAGGGGAACACCTGCATTCACCAGCTTATTAAAGGCTCTGATAAAGGATACATACGAATAGCCAGATGAAGAGATACTTAGGGTGAGGTCTGGGAGGGTCCTGTGCACAGGATCTTCAGTGCTGTGTTCACCAGCCCAGAAGCCCTCTGAACCCTGTACCACGGGGGTGTTATGGAGGCTTTCTCATGTAGGCATAATGGATCATTAACTCCATTTTCAGTCCTTTTTCCTTCTCAAGGGAATGGAGGGCAGGACTGAAGATCCCAAGCTCTGATCATGGTGACCAACCTAGGAGACACCCAGGAGCCCACCCAAAGTCAACTCATTAGAACAAAAGATGCTCTAATCACCCAGGAAATTACAAGAATTTCAGAAGCCCTGTGTCAGGAACCCGGGTCAAAGACCAAACATTAGAACAAAAGAGGTTCCTACTATTCTTATCACTTAGGAAATTACAAGAGTTTAGGAACTCTGTGCCAGGAACCAAGAGCAGAGACCAGTATACATTTTCGATTATGTCTCAGTTTCCTAGGAAAAAAATAAATAAATGGCAACTATTTAGAGAATATAAACTATTCAAATGTCAAGAAAAAATGAGAGGATGGTTTCAGGGGGCTATCCCTTGGGGAGAAAAGGGCAGAGATGGTGTCACAAGTGAAGTCTACAGACCTAAGGAACAGATAAACCAAAGATATGAAAATGTTTCTCAATTCGGGAGGTGGGGGGGGGGGAAACATTATAACAGTTTTATGTAGTCAGCATCATGCAGATACCAAAATCTGAAGTGGATAGCACCAAGAAATATCACAAGCAATCTCATGTAGAATTACTAATGCAGAAATTCGAAGGAAAATACTAGCAAATGCAATCAAGCAGCATCTGAGAGCATGATCAATTGTTTTCATAACTGGAATATACAAGAATGACTCAATATGGAAAAACCTACGAACAAAATTAATTGCCTGTATGGATAAAATTGGAAAAACAAGACCATCTCCATAGATGTTGGAATAAGATTGGAAAAAATTTCAAAATCTATTCCTTAAAACCTTTTCATAAAAGATGGAAAGAAGAATAATTAACCTAAAACCCAATACCATAGTTAGCAGAGAAATAATGAAAGTTTGTTAATAAGGTGAAACAAGACAAGGATGTCCACCATATTTCAGTGTTGTTCTGAAGTATTTGAAGACGAAAGAATTTTCAGCACAGAGGAAAGGAGATACAGATTTAAGATGGCAGTTAAATGAGAACTTTATTGCCCCAAATTTGAATTGTAAATATAAACTTATGATTTATGTTTTCTTAAGAAACAAGAACAACTAAACTTATCTCTTAGCTCTGTCCACTGATAAATCTGGAAACAATGACCAAGCCAGAAGCAAGGAGCCTCCCCAGCCCCCAGGCTGTGGTTGCTATGACCAATTCCCACCTTGGGGAACTAGAACTTCTGCAGAGGGCAGATTCCTCGTCAGGGGTGGGATGACCTGAAGTGTCTTGTCACATCAGATAGCGAAGAAGTGAGGTTGTGTCGAAAGGACTCAGAAGACAATCTGAGGAAACTCTCACTGGCCAGCAAGAGGACAACCAGATCAATAACGCAGTGGAGGGCTGCCTGGGTGGCTCAGTCAGTTGAGCATCTGAGTCCTGATTTCAGCTCAGGTCATGATCTCACGGTCACGGGATCGTGCCCTCGTGGGGCCCACACCCAGCATAGAGCCTTCTTGGGATTCTCTCTCTCTGCCCCTCCCTCACACGTTCTCTCTCTCAAAATAAATAAATAAACGTTAAGAAAAATAACACAGTGGATTGAAGCACACCAAATATGTTTAAAATGTTAGTTCATAATAATACTAGATAATACTAAACACACCCAACACCACCCCCACACCTAAAAAAGAGGAAAGAAATCAAGAAAGCAGAAAGCACATTGGTTACCTCTGGAAGATGATGAAGGGGAAAAAAATTGGGCTTCCAAGCTTTTATTTCACCTTTTCTTTATAGAGGTGAGAAGCTAGTATTCCAGCTAGTAAATGAAGATAAAGGCTGAGAGAATATCACTATTCTGCAATCCCTAATGAATTAGAGGATCTAAGCAGCGGGCATCGGTGGCAGCTAACACCACAAGAAGAGAGAGATAGCCAGAGATAATAGGCTTTCCAGTGGAGGAGCATCGCCCTTATGACACACGCCTGTCCAAATAATCAAGCCGGAATCCGATTAAGTCCCCAGATCCTACTTACTAGTCATCTATGGGAAATGCAGAGAGAGGAAGGTGTTGAAAAGGATCAAGAGAACAACAGACTGATCCCACCTAAAATATTCATGCAAAGTCTTAGTAAGATATTAATTGTTAGCAGAGTTCATCAGTACATTATAAAACCATAGCCAAGTAGAGAATTGATGCATTGATTCAAAGATGGTTCAGTATCAGGAAATCTACCAGTGTAAATAACCATATTAAAAGTCAAAGAGAAAAACCAAATGATCATTTCAAAATTTATTCTTGATTGAAGTCATAAGTGCATAGGAATGGAGGAATATTTCAATTCCTCAATAAGATAAATGTATGAATATATACTACTTAATGGTGAAATGTGACATTAAAATTGGGCACATATGGTATGCACTTTTTCCATTATTTAATATCATTTTTATTATTAAATTATTAATTGTTACACAAAAGAAAGAAAATATAATCATAGGAAAGAAGAAGGCAAGAATATGCTTATTTGTATGTGATAAGATTATACGCCTAGAAAGCCTTAAAGAATACAAATTTTATTACAAGGAAAAAAGAAGTCAGCAAGATGGCTGGATCATGACTATCATGTAATTGTTAACCGTGTGCCAGGCACCGTGCCCAGTATTTCTTATATAGGAACTGGTTTCATTGTCATAACAATCTATGAGGTAGACATGGTTCTCACTGTCCCGGCTTTACAGAACAGGAAACGGGGGCACAAAGAAGTTAGTAATTTGCCCACAGCTGGTAAGTGGTGGAGCCAAGATAAGAATCGTTGATGTCTTTATTTGCCAGCAACACCCACTTTTGAAAATGTCCCATTGATTATAACCTAATTAGAAACATCTAGAAATGTGCTTATCAAGAAATGAAGAAGACCCAGGGGTGCCTGGGTGGCTCAGTGGGTTGAGCCTCCTGCTCTTGATTTTGGCTCAGGTCACGATCTCACGGTGGTGGCATCGAGCCCCACGTCAGGCTCCACGCTGAGTGGAGCCTGCTTGGGATTCTCTCCCTCTTTCTTTGCTCTTCCCCTGCTCGTGCTCTCTCTCTCTCTCTCTCTCTTTCTCAAAATAAATAAATAAACATTAAAAAAAAAAAAAAGAAATGAAGAAGACCTGTATGAACAAAACTTTAAAAGTGAAGAAGAAAGATGATAAAGGGCAGAAATGCTGAATTTTTGGTGACCTCTAACCTGACTGGTGTCTAGACCACTGGTCTTCAAAGTCGCATGTGAATACCAGACCTTCCCATTGGGATGAGTGTTGATGCGTTTGGGTCACTGTAAGGCAGTGGGCGTGTCCAGAAAAGTAAACAGAAGCTCCCTAACGAGAGGATCACCCCCTCCCCTCACACACTTGCTTTTAGCTCATCGTAGCTCAGTACGCTTTGCCTCCGTCCAAGTAAGTAAATATAAGGGTTCTATTATTAAATTGAGAGCGTTTTTATTGCAAATCATTGCAATGAGATGGAGAACAACCAGGAAAGTCTTACATCATTCATGGCAATTTTCAGATGATCACATAATAAAATACTTAAGTGAGGTTTTTAGCTTAGACATTACAGCAAAGAGTTAAAAATGTTAAGTTTCTCAATGCCTAGAAGTGTCTCGGAGTAGTTTGTTACCTAGCAGATACTCTCAAAAAAGGATCAGGCATAATCTACTCCTTCTAGTAAATTTCAGGTTTTAACACTAGGATGTTCAAAAGAAAAGTGTTGGGATGAGAACGTTTTTGCTGCTGTAATTTTGTGTCGTTGTGAGAATTCTTACAACATTCTTAAAAATTGGGGAATTTTTTTAAACTTGTTTTGAAATCTTCCGAAAGAAGAATCCACTTGATAAAAATATGAAAAGTAAAACATCTTCTAATTAATATGCAAAACTTCCTGACCCACATCAGGAAAGATAAAACTGACTCCCTTAAAATCTTTCTAGAATGAGTGGAAACGCTTGAATTACTGGAGACACAACCCAGGAGAGCAGCCCAGGCCCCGCCTCCTCCGCCTGGATTCATGTTTATTCTGGAGAATCATTTCACCAAAGATGGATGGAAAACCAAGGGTCAAAATAAATGGAATCTAGAGTCAGACTTCACATGTCTGCGTCAAAAGCTGCAACACAAATTAAAAAAAAAAAAAAAGATGCGTGGGGCACCTGGGTGGTTCAGTCAGTTGAGGCTCCAACTTCGGCCCAGGTCACGACCTCACCATTTGTGGGTTTAAGCCCCACGTCAGGCTCCGGGCTGACGGCTCAGAGCCTGGAGCCTGCTTCGGATTCCGTGTTTCCCTCTCTCTCTGCCCCTTCCCTGCTCATGCTGTCTCTCTCTCACAAAATAAATAAACATTAAAAATATTTTTTAAAAACAAAAAAAATAATGATGCATAGCCTATCACACTGCTCTATTACTAATATTTTCTACTAACATTTTTGTATCATTAAATAACATGAAAATATTTTAAAATAGTGTTTATTTCCTCTTCCACTTATCATTTTCACTTCTATTTTTGCATATGTGTGATAATATACACGATAGATTAATGCAGTTACATATCTACATACCTTAAAAATAAATCTACATAAACCCATAATTAAGAGAAATAAATATACTGGGGGCACATGCTGGCCTAAGGCACATGTTACAACTTGGAGACTCCTGTATTGACTTTCCAAAGTTGTAATAATTTGATGATAGAATAATCTGCCTTTCTTGGCTACTTAGCAGAAAGTTCTTAAAAGTCTGCCCCAGCGAGACTTTTCACTCTTATGTGGATCCTGAGAAACTTAACAGAAGACCATGGGGGAGGGGAAGGAAAAAAAAAAAAAGAGAGGTTAGAGTGGGAGAGAGCCAAAGCATAAGAGACTCTTAAAAACTGAGAGCAAACTGAGGGTTGATGGGGGGTGGGAGGGAGGGGAGGGTGGGTGATGGGTATTGAGGAGGGCACCTGTTGGGATGAGCACTGGGTGTTGTATGGAAACCAATTTGACAATAAATTTCATATTAAAAAAAAAAAAGTTCTACCTGTTGGTTCAGTGGATAAAAGCAAAGTGAGGCCTTAAACGCACACAGCGAGGCTCTGCTGAGACATTTGCATTTGATGATAGGAAAAAAGGTCTAGCTGATCTCCTGTCAGTGTTTTAAAGGAGAATTTAAATTAGTAGTTAATGGTCTAAAAAATAAATTTTCTTTTTAATTTTTTTTTAACGTTTATTTATTTTTGAGACAGAGACAGAGCATGAACGGGGGAGGGGCAGAGAGAGAGGGAGACACAGAATCGGAAACAGGCTCCAGGCTCTGAGCCATCAGCCCAGAGCCCGATGCGGGGCTCGAACTCACGGACCGCGAGATCGTGACCTGAGCTGAAGTCGGACGCTTAACCGACTGAGCCACCCAGGCAGCCCAAAAATCATTTCTTTATATATTTTTTTCTGATTCCCAATACGGAAAGTAACTGGATTCCTGTGTGAGGCCACCTGACTCTACCTGTTACTGGTATTGTCACTTACCTTTGCCACTTGTGGCCAGTAGAGTGGCAGCTCCCCAAGTCACCCAGTGTGCCATTTCTGTCAGGAGAGATTATTCACCAGCAGGAGAATCACGTCATCAGAACTATTTTCTGTGAAGGGACAGTTTAAATCATGGCTCTCTACCTCAGCTGCATGTCACAATCCCTGGGGGTCTTCAGGAAGTTCTGAGGCCCCCGTCACCCCAGCCCCTGGGGGTCTGAGGTCACTGGTCTGGGAATTAGGTTTTCAGAGCCCCTCGGCTAACAGGAGTCAGAGCCCCAGGGCCTGCCGTGACCCTGGGAGCAAAGGTTGCAAAGGCTGAAGGCCAAAGCGCGTGTGTCCCTGTGGGAGCTGAGGCCCCGCCCCTGCCAATGGTTCAGGGTCCCCGGCACCTGCCACATGGGCAGGGGCCGCATCTTGCTTCCACCGCAATTTTCAGATGTTGTTATTTTTTATCTCAGGGCTAAGCTCTTCCCAGAGTTTAAAAGAGTTGTGCAGGAGCACCTGGGTGGCGCAGTCGGTTGAGCGTCCGACTTCAGCTCAGGTCACGATCTCGCGGTCCACGAGTTCGAGCCCCGCGTCGGGCTCTGGGCTGATGGCTCGGAGCCTGGAGCCTGTTTCCGATTCTGTGTCTCCCTCTCTCTCTGCCCCTCCCCCGTTCATGCTCTGTCTCTCTCTGTCTCAAAAATAAACAAACATTAAAAAAAAAAAAAAAGAGTTGTGCAGAGTTGCCCTTTTCTTCAATAAAGTGGTAAACATATCATGAGATGCTTCCCGGAGGCGGCAGAGGTCATAACAGGGACTTGTACGTTGGACACACAGAGATCCTTGTCAGTGGATAAAGAACAAGAGATCTGTTGCCTCCATCTCCGTACAAATAGTCAGCAGGTAAGACCTTGGAAACACAGATGGAAGCACGGAGGAAAACCTGGCCGAGGAACACGGGTGCCTCGAATCACTTCAGTTTGGAACCCGGCAGGATTTTCAGGAAGACGCAAAAGGGAATCGAGACGGTGACAAGCTGTGATTTGCCCATTTTCACGTGTGTAGCTAATAAAGCAAACGCTCTACGAGAGTGTCACCTCTTGAAGTCTCACCACTTGGACACTCTTGTAAGTTGGGCACGTGGAACAGGGGGCGCTGATGTGACCGGTCCGGGAGGACGTTTGTAGAACCACCGACCAGAGATCAGTGCGACCATCCAGCGGCGAGAAGACAACCCGAAGGCAGGCAGCCGGTAGGCGGGACACACCTGCGGGGTACTCAGCTATCGCAGTTCATGCGACTGCAGGATGAAGCTGAGGCTGGAGAGTGGGTTCCCGGGGTTTCCCCTTGAGTGACCTGGTGGCAAAGGCCCAAACCGGGGATCTCAGGTGCGCAGAGGGAGTCTGGGGGGAGACGCAGGTCCTGCTCCAGGAGAACACGGCTTTGAGCGGCAAAGGGGACACCTGCCCTGGGGACCGGGAAGCCGTGCGCAGACGGGTGTGGAGCGCTCCTGAGAGATCGTTCTAGAGACAAGCCTGGCAGCGTCTGCATGTGGGCTGGCCGAGGCCGGGACGTGGGCCAGACTGTCCAGGGAGAGAGAAAGACCACAGGAAATATTGGAAGTTCAGGTGATGACAGAGACACGGGGAGTGGGGACCTCCCCTCTGCAGACCCAGCAGTCTGAACAGCACCAGCAGGGAGAGCGAGAGTGGGGCAGGACGTGTCCAAGGACTTATTACGTCCAGTGATACTGGGGTCCGGTGACCGGTGGCTTCCCACAGGGAGGCTGATTCCAGGAGGGCTGAGCCAGACGGAGGATAGAGGGCCATGAAAGAGGGGAAGACGGCCAGAAGCGTGTCTGTGAAGAGAGGAGGATGGGGACAAGTCTCTGTAATTCTGCAGATGAAACGATGTGATCACGTGTAACCTGCCAGCGAGAAGCTGCTGGGGGAGGGCAGAGGAAGTACCGAGAGGACCCCCACCGCTCCAGCCGAGGACAAGCAGGTCCCTGCCGGGGACACGGCCGCTTGGGCTCTGGAGAGACGGGATGTGGAGGAGCCTTGGGCGGAGTGGGAGCACCTGCACCCTGCTGCTGGGGAGGAGGATGGCAGTGAGGTCAAGGGGGGAGAGAGAGGGACGCCGGAGAGGGTGTAACAGAGAACACGGGGGGCTGCGGGAGGGGTGGTGAGCACCCCCAAAATAGGAAACTTAAGTGACATTACTTCATGTGGTACCAGGGTCCGTGGAGGGTCCAGGAGGAGGGTCTGGTGAGGGTCCGGGAGGAGGGGCTTCCATGGAGGGTCCAGGAGGAGGGTCTGGTGAGGGTCTGGGAGGAGGGGGTTCCATGGAGGGTCCAGGAGGAGGGTTCATGTGATTGCAGAAGGTGTGTCGGTGAGGGTACAGGCCGGGTCTATTCCAGGAGCCGTGGCTGTGGAGAGAATGTGAGCATTTGCCAGAACAGGGAGAAGATGCATAACGTCTGGAGAAGAGTTGAGCCACGGAAGAAGATCCGCTGGGCGTCCTGTGGGTAGTTGTTGGGGCAGCCCTGAAGGCAGGCCCGGGCTGTGGGGTTCATCACCCCCCCCTCAATACAGGACAGAGCATAGGACCTTCTCGAGGGCTTGCCCAGATGTGCGGGCACAGGGAGGGGCGGGAAGCTGCGGGCAGGCAGATACCAAATAAGAGATCAGACTGAGGTCACATCGGAGAGATCGGATAAGTCTCTCAGCCCATGAATTTGATTTTTCCTCAAACCTCAAAATAATGTCTCATCAGAAAAGTAGACGAATGACAGTACTGGGACGTTTGAAGCATCATATCCAAAGCTACCGTGAACCTGGATATCTTCAGAACAAAGGGTAGCCAAGTGTGTAATCATTAGGTGCCGAGTCATCATTACCTGGCTTGTAGAACAGCCACCTTCCGGGACTTGTTCCCTGGCGGCGGATGGGCCCGGCAGACGCAGTCTCTGAATGTGTGGGTCTCGGCGCGATAAGAACGTCCCCAGCCGCCTGACAAACCAACAAGTTGTTGGCGATGGTATCACAATTTATCCCTACCCCTATTGCTATTCTTTTACAATTTATAAAAAAGAAGAGTGAGAGAGACAGTACCCGAGAGCCAGTCCCCAGTCGTCATCTCGACGCCCACGCCAGGCGAGGACCATTATCAGCCTCAAATGTCTTGGTCAGACTTTTGTGGATGGAGTCCAGATGCGTGTGCCCCTCTCCCCTTGATCATATTCGCCAGCTAGGAGAGGAAGAGGGACAGGAGCAGGCTGTGAACTACTACTCAATGCGGCTGAGGGACACCCCAGCCCCGAAGACCACACGGGAGCAGAGAGAGAGCAATGAGCATGGGAGGCAGAGTGTGTGACGCGCAAGGGTGCACCTGCGTGATTCATCCCATGGGGCTTGGGGTTGCTGGGGAATTGAAGGCCTGGTGCCTGGAAGGCGGGAGTAAGAGGCATAGACAGGAAAACAGTGGAAATCCGGGTGAAAATCTGCAAGGACCCCCAGACCTGCACGTGCACCGAGGGAAGCCGTGCACCTTCCCTTTGGTGGGAGGCATGTTCCCCAAAGGCTGTCACCGCTTCCCAAGCGCGGGTCGGCCTGGAGACTTGCTTTAACCTGTAGAATGTGGAATTGGGGATGGGCCAAGTCTGGGCTCAGGACCTGAGGCCTCCTTTAGCGCCTGCTCCTGGCTCCCTGGAAACCCCACTGGGCTGCCACGTGACCCAGCCAGGCCACCCCCAGGATGAGGCAGACAGAGGGTGCCCCCGCCCCACCGGCCAGCCTTGGCCACAGATTCGTGAGTGAGCGGGATGAACTGCCCGGCGGAGCCTGTCCTAGATTGCTGACCCACAGCACCTCAGGCCTAATTAATGCTTGTGTTTCTTTAAAACCACTATGTTGGGGCGCCTGGGTGGCGCAGTCGGTTGAGCGTCCGACTTCAGCCAGGTCACGATCTCGCGGTCCGTGAGTTCGAGCCCCGCGTCGGGCTCTGGGCTGATGGCTCGGAGCCTGGAGCCTGTTTCCGATTCTGTGTCTCCCTCTCTCTCTGCCCCTCCCCCGTTCATGCTCTGTCTCTCTCTGTCCCAAAAATAAAATAAAAACGTTGAAAAAAAAATTAAAAAAAAAAAACCACTATGTTTAGGGGGTGGGTTTTTTGTTTTTTGTTTTAAATACAGCAAAAACTGACAGGCGCACCTTCGTGGGAAACTACAAACTGAACCAGAAAGCCGCTTGACTCAGGGTCACAGGTAGAGCAGTGGGTAGGGATGAGATACACATTTCTACCTGGTTCTCAGCCGTTACTCCAACCGTGAGCCGCCACCTGCATCTGGGTGCTTACATGCCAGGAAGGGGGACAGAACAGCCTTTCTGCAGGAACTCAGGGGCCCAGAGGACCCCAAACAGGGACATAATGTGGGAGAACCACATCAGTCTGCTTCCAGTGGGGTAGTGCATTACCAAACCTGTGGTCACCTTCTTCTTCCGGCAGGAAAAGTCACAGAGAGGAGAAAACCCAGCTTTCTGCTGTCACACACCACCTCCCCCGTCACCACGCAGAAAGGTCAAGCAGCTTTGAGGGGCCTTACTCCCAAATACGAAAGAGCATCCAAATGCAGAGAAGGAAAAGTTCTTCCTCTGCTTTCTTAGGCTCAGTGGTTGGGGCTTATACATCCAATGGATAAAAGACAGATTAACAGGAGAAAAAACCCAAGAGTTTATTTGCAGGTGCAACGTGCGTACACGTGGGAGGACTCAGCGGCGAGTGACTCAAAGGGGTGGTTAGAATCTGGGGCTTTAAACCATCTTAACAGAAGGCGATAAATCGTGGAGAAGAGACAAGACAAAGGAGAAAGGGTGTGGGTTTGTAGGGGTGGTGATCACGGGCTGATAAATATCTGGGGAAACAAATGGAATATGAGGGATCTTTTAGCAAGCTCCGTTAGGGCTGGTTTTCCGTCTCCAGTGAGACAGGTTGCATCACATGGTCTCTTCTGGAACTGGACAGGAGTGGGGAACATCTTCACAAGGGAAAACGTATACCCTGCATTCCGGCAGAAAGGGGAGGATAGAGAGTTTTTCCTGAATCCGCTGTTTCTCCATTGCCTTCCACTCAAAATAATCCTTATGCCAAAGCGGTCTATTTCGGGATGGTCTATTCTGATCTCCTTCACAAGGATAACCAGATACTTGAAAAGAGTTATAACGTGAAAAGCAAAGAATAAGACCATCATACATGAAAAAGAACACAAAATAAACATCAGCATTGGGGACAGTAAAAAAGCAACTTCAAAAAGCCCCCGTAATTAGTATGTGCAGGGATATAAGAGAAAATATTGAACCTGTAAATCAAGGACCAGATGCTGTGAAAAGAAAAATCAAAGAGTAAGTAAAAAGCTAGGAAATTAAAGCATGGTAGTGAAAATTAAAATTTCAGTGGAAGCACGGGGAAATAACGTTCAATCTGTCTTTGAGAAGGTGAAACCATAACCGATGGAGACTTGGAAAGAAAGTGAGTGGATCAGTTTGAGGTTGACTGGTGAGCACTTGAGAAAGTGAGGCCAGGGGAGGCAGCTGGGGAGGCTCTCGGCACCTTACACACGAATCTCCCCTGGAGGGAGGGACTCTACTTTTCAAACGGAGAGCATCACCACGTCCCAGCAAAATGAACGGAATAAGCCAAGGCACACGACCATAACCGTGAGTGGTAGAGCAGCTTGTAAAACATTCCGAGGGAAGGGAGTTACTTTACCAGAGAGAGGGGATAAGATGTCAGCAGGCTCCTTACCATTATTAAAAATAGAAGAAAAACTGGGATAGGCCCTGAAGAAAAATTACCTTCAACCTAGATTTCATGCTGAGTCAAATTATGAAGGATGAGAGTAAAGATGTATCGCTCAGGCACCATTTTCCAGGAAGCTGCTAGAGGAGGCCTTCTGCACAAATGAGAGTGGACGCTAAGAAAGACCATGACAGGGGTTGAAAACCAGGGACCCACCCGAGGGAGGTGGAGAGCAGCCCCAATATGCTGCTAATGGGAGGTCCCAGGGCCACAGCTGGACGGCAGCTGCAGGGGCAGCAGGTGCACATCCCAGGAGCCCGAGCGCGAGCGGAGGGAGAGACAATGGCGCCCACGTGTAACCGGGTATTTTGGCAGAGTAGACAAGTGCACCCGAGAGGTTGGGGGGTAGAACAGAGATACAGATTAAGAAAAGCTGGAAAATGAAAAGGATGTGGCAATTATTAACTACAACCAAAAACTATGTAATAAAGGAACTTGAAGTTTCTTGGATACATCAATTAACATGTTTTTCCCCCAGTTTAGGAAGCGTTGGCCATTTTTCTTCAAATATTCTTTCTTTCCCTTTGTTTCCCTCCTCTTCTCCCGTGACCCGTTAGGGATACATGGGTGCAGCTGAAGGTGTCTCACAGGTTTCTGGGGCTCTCTTCTGTTTTCTATTTCTCAGACTAAATAATCTGAACTAATAATCTGAACTAAATTCGCCGAACCTTCTGGCAGCTCAATTCAGCTGTTGGGCTGTAGTGCCCACGGTCTTCACTTCAGCTTCGGAAATTTTATTTGTTTTCTCAGCCTTTTAACACCTTTATAATCTCTATTTGGTGACACACCGTTCTCAATCTGTTATTTCTTCAGACATGGTTTCCTTTAGCCTTTGAACATATTTATAGTAACCGATCTAAAGTCTCCATCTTGTAAGTCCAACATCCGGACTGTTGTAGGGATACTTTTTATTTCCTGTGTTTGGGCCACACTCAGCTGTTGGCACGTCATCTAAACTTCAGTGTGCATCAAAATCACCTGAAGGACTTGTTAAAACAGAGGCTGGGCCTCATCCCCAAGTTTCTGGGGTCCAAGAATTTCTGACATAGTCCCAGTTGCTTCTGCCGTGGCTGGTCCACGGAAAACACTTTGAGAACCACCAGCCCAGGCTAGACCCACCATCTCGGCCTCAAAGCAGGGTCCGTGTCTTACGGGTCTCTTACTCCACAGGGTATCCAACACAGTGACTCACAAAGAGCCATTCTACTAGCTTTATTGATATTGAATTACTGAATTTCAAAGGTGTGTCACAGAACATGGCATACACATCGAGGTTCTAAAGAAGAACCAAAAGAGAATGAAGAAGGGCGTGTGGCCCATTCATAAGTGAGGCTGCTTCACCAGTGAACAAAGAAAGGGGAAGGCGTGAGCTTGGTGATCTCCAATAGCATTCCGGGCATCGAGTCGTTAATTATCTCAGTTTTCACACAAGGAAGACTTAATTTTTTAATCATAGCATGCTTCTAGTGATTAGTAGATTCAGTATGAGTGAACACTGATGTCTTTTTACTAATGGGAAAATTGTTGTTAGTTACTAACGGGAAAATCATTACGATTAGTGCCCAGCTAAAAAATGCCAGACACAGAAACCGAAGCAACAAGCAGAGGCAGCCGTGTGCAGGACAGTGGGCAGGGGGCTGCCTGGCTTTGAGCCCACAATGCCACGTGCACTCAGGCCCTCAGTTTCTCCCTCTGTAGAATGGGCACCAAAATACATCCGCTTCAGAGGGTAAGTCCTCAAAGCAGCACCTGCTGCACAGTGAACGTTTGTTAAAAATACCAACCGGTGCAGCCCCTGTGGAAACCAGTATGGAGGTTCCTCAAACCATTAAAAAGAGAGTTATGATGTGACCCAGCAATTTCACTGCTGGGTACTTACCCAGGGAAGATGAAAACACGAACTCGAAAAGATACCTGCACACCCGTGTTCACTGATGTTTCACTTACAATAACCAAGATACGGAAGCCACCTAAGTGACCTCGGCAGATGAGTGGATACGGGAAATACTTCCAGCAGAATTTTATTCAGTCATCAAAAAGAAAGAAATCTTGTCATTCGTGACAACACAGAGGTCTCGGAGACATCACACTAAGTGAGATAAGCCAGGCAGGGGAAGACAAACACCGAATGATCTCACTTACCTGTGGGATCTAAAACACCAGCAACGATAAAACTGTGGAGTCATTGCTAGAGAGGGTATTGTAAGTCCTGGAGGGTGAACGGGGTGAGAGCTGAAACGTCAGCGATGTTCTGGTCCCAAGGTTGTCGAGCGCGATAGCACTCTGAGAACAGAGCCCCGTGACACCGCAGAGGACAATTAGATACAAAATCCGCTGTGACCCCCTGACACTCCTTGAAACTACATGTACTCCCTTCACGTAGCCAGCAGGTGCATGTCTGGTTAATGTCTAAAGATCCTTTGTGTTCCCTACCCATGCTTTGATATCCTTTGATACTCATATCTAAGAAAGTATGAAATAAAGACTCTGTGCGGTTTGCTGCTGCAGCTGTTTCACTGGTGGAAGCATGCCCGCACGTCCGCTCCATCCTGTATCTGAGAACTTCTTTGGTGTGCGGCCACACAAAACAAAAAGCAGACCCGTAGACACGGAGGAGTGGGGGCGGGTGGAATCAGTGAAGGGGTTGAAAGGCACACACTTCCAGTTATGAAATGAGTAGGTCTTGGGTGTGGCAGACAGCATGGTGATTGATGGTAGTTAATAATAACTGTGCTGTACATTTGAAAGTTGCCCAAAGAGTAGATCTTAAAAGTTCTCATAAAAGGGTTAATAATAAAAGTAAACCAGCAGAGAATCTTCTCAGGTTAGTCTGTGCTTTCGGGGATATGTTTCCCAGTGAAATTGAGAACGGGAGAGGCACTGGGGCCGTGGAGGGGAAGAAAAGGCTCTCCTAAAGTCCCGTGGGTCCCAGGGGTCTCTAGGGTGATGGCACCCTGTGTAGACAACATCGTGGCTGTCTCGCACCCATATCTGTACATTCCCAGCTCCCATCTCCCACTTCTCCAGACATCCTGCACCTGCAGGAAAGGAGAGGAAGAGAGAGGACGAAAGGCAAACTCACGTCCCTATCAGCTTTTTCGGTCATGCTGTGGATGGGTGCTTCTGGAATGGAAGCGATTTCAGGTTCGTGACCCTCCCCAGAACCCGTGAGAATCCACATCCCAGCCCTGATTTTAGGCTGATGGCTAGTGAATCCGAACGGGATCAACCGAAGGAAACTGGACAAACATTCCTCCTCTTGCAAGGGGTTCAGATTTCCCCCGAGAGCCCTGGAATTGACTGTAAGTCTTGGCAAAGAGCATCGCCCACCAGTGCGGGGCTCATAAAGTGTACAGGTCTCCAGCTGGATTTCGCAATGAGAAACACACCTCCGTAACACAGCCGGAGGCGAGGAACCAGTCCCGGATGACTGATGTGGGGACTGCACAAAGGCGGCAGAAGGGGCAAGATTCGGTCATGCTACTGGCCTGGCCGCGGCCCCTCCTGCCTGGCGGTGTCATTCCCGCGGACTCTGCACGCCGGGAGAGGCTAGCCCTCTGGGTCACCCTGTGCGCACTCAGGCACTCTCTCCTCTTTCACTTTCTTCCCTCCTTTTCTTTCTTCCTTTCATCCTTTTTGACTGAGAGGGCCAAATTCAATTGTGTGTTCTCTCTTCAAGCTTTCCGTCGCAGAGATTTCCAAACACACACAACGGTAGCGGTAGGCACACAACAGTCCCCGAGGCTCTGTCACCAGCCTCCCATATCACATTGAGCCAGTTTTGTTCTCTCTGTTCCCCACGGATGGGGTTCTTGAGCAAACGGCTAAGAAAGAATTCTTGAGATGTCTTCGGTGCGAAAAGGCGGTTTTACTAAAGCACGGGGACGGGACCCGGGGGCAGAAAGAGCTGCCCCGGGGTTGTGAGGGGTGACTGATTATACACCTTTAGGTTTGTGGAGGGAGGGCCATAGAGATAAAGTAAGTTTCTAAGGAATGTGGAAGCAAGGCTTTCAGGACCTTGAGATAAAGTTATGTTCAGTCTTTAATAAAACACAAACACCAAGGGAGTAGGGCAGCCAGGAGTTGCCCGAAGAAGTTCTCGCTCTGCGTGTTTCAGGTGTCTGTCAGTGGGCTGCGGGCTGGAAGGAGATTTCACTTAAGCTACGTTTCTCTTGCCTGTGTTTCCTTCACCACCCTCTACTTTTCCTCTACCACCCAATGTTTTCCTGGAGCATTTTACAGCAGATCCCAAAATTTCACTCTTTTTTTTTTTTAATGTTTGTTTGTTTATTTTGAGAGAGAGAAACAGAGTGCGAGCAGGGGAGGGGCAGAGAGAGAGGGAGACACAGAATCCCAAGCGGGCTCCAGGCTCCGAGCCGTCAGCACAGAGCCCAACGTGGGACTCGAACCCCACGGTGAGATCATGACCTGAGCTGAAGTTGGATGCTCCACCGACTGAACCACCCAGGTGCCCCCAAAATTTCACTTTTAAATGCGGCATTTTGTCTCTCTAAAAACTAAGCACTTAAAAAAAAAAAAAACCTATCTAAAATACATGATCACACTTTCCCTAATTAACAACAATCCCTCCACATCATCTAATATGTAGTTTGTTTTAAAATCTCTCAAAAAATACCTGCTACAGTTGTTTTTGTTCCAATAGGCTCCACTCAAGGTCTCCATGGCGCATCTGGCTGTTAGTCTCTTAAGCTCTCTCAGCATATGACACTTTCGTCTGTCTTTCTCTCCCCAGGCCACATGTCCGGCCGGCTCAGGTTCCCACAGTCTAGACCTGCCCAATTGAATTGTCAAAGTTGTCAGAAGTTCAGAGATAACAGAAGTAAAGCCAGTGAATCACCTAAGTAGCAATGAGTAAAATTTATCGCGCCCACATACACAAGACGGTTTGCATGCCAGGAGCACTTAGACCAAGCACCGTGTGAGGCTTGGCGTATCGTCCTAAAAAGTGGATCATGTCGTGAGAAGGCAGGGACTGCATATTCTTCCCAGGGACTGGCTATAATGTTAGAATGTTCCAGAATTAAAGGGAATTGGTCACCAGTTACCTCATATCAGTTTCAGGGGACAGTTTAAATTTCACTTACGATTTCCAGAGGCACCAGCAAGAAGTAACCCAGGCAAGTGAGCCTCCCTTGTCTGGCAAGACAGAAAAAAAAAAAAAAAAAAAAAAAGCTAAATTGAGCTTTGCTTGTGTGACTAAATTGGTTTTGTCTGCACAGGGAATTTTCAAGTATGGTTGCCATTTGTGTTTCATTTCACCAGTGTAACTAACACATTCCTTTGCTCCCCAAGCTCCTATAAACTGGTGTTTGGATCTGGAGGCTTGTTTAGACGTGGGTTTGAACTTTTCAGCATGGATATTCTAGGATATTCTATACACGGTGCTGGCAGTTCCTCCCACACCCCTAATGTCTGGTGACCCAAGTCTGCTGGACCTGATATTGGTAGGAGGCAGGGGGAAGGTCAGGTCGGCCTGATTGCACCCCCCGCCCAACGTTCCCTGTCAGACTCTTGGTTTTAGCATTGATAATTGCCAACACTCATGTGCTCATTAGTGGTTGCAAACGATGGCTGTCCATTTTGATTTTGTTGTTCTGCACTGATCAGCTGTAATTCCTCTGTTGCTACTTTCTAACCCGAAATACAGTGTGTAGAGGAAAGTATATTTGAAAGTTGTATTTTTGAAATATACATGACACTTTTCTCTTTATAAATTTTCAGAATAATTGGGAACCTACGAGGAGACCAGTAAGACTTTCTTCCGTTTTCCTGTCATCACACACATACAGCAGTTCGAGCACCTGCTTTGTTCCAATGGCGGGGTCTCCTCCAGACCGGCCCCCGGACACAGCCCCCTTGGTCTTGGCAACGTCCCTATTTTGGACCACAACACCGATGTCTCAGGATCGTCTCGTACTGTGCCTGCCTCAGAACGGCGTTCTTTCTAAGAGCCTTGGTTCCTTTCAGTAAAAAGTAGCTTTTGGTGAGTGTGCTTGTTGTGACCGTCTTGTCCTTGAGTCTAGGCTTCTTCTGTGTGTGTGGTTTTCTCTGAAAGATCATGTTGAGCTTATTACACTCTCCTTTCCAAACCAAATGTAAAATTTTAGGGTTTTTGCTTAAGTCTGATTATAACGCTGTGCTGCTTAGCGTTGAAAATCTTGGTCCCTAAGGAATTTTCCGTGATTATTTTTCTGCTGTCTCTTCTGCCGTCTATGTGCTTCACCATGTGGATGGTTCGAATAACAATATCAGTATTAGTATTCCAAGTAGGAAGCTAGGATGAGGGAAAAGCTTGCCACCTGCATGGCAAACAGCCACAGACATGAGAGGTACAAAGTGGCATCGGGGAGAGTTTCAACCACAGTGACAAAAGCAGGAGGAATCAGTGTAAGGAGAGTTTGCCTGCCTGTGAGATTGCTCTGAGATGGGAGGTCTGACACAGGCTCCCCCAGGAGTGTCACCAATGGTACTCAGCAGTAGATGGTTGTTGGTGGCAGGGTTTTAGGGAAGAAGGGGACGGACAGAACTTTTAGCTGCCGCGGGCTTTGGGAGGTTTCACACACGGTACATTTGAGCCTCTGGATTTTTTTTTTTTTTTTTGTCATATTTACTTATTTTGAGAGAGAGAGCGCACATTTGTGAGGGACCAAGAGAGGGAGAGAGAGAGAATCCCAAGCAGGCTCACTCTGTCAGTGTAGGGCCCAACGTGGGCCTCGAACTCATGAACTGTGAGATCACGACCTGAGCCGAAATCAAGAGTTGGATGCTTAGCCAACTGAGCCCCCAGGAGCTCCTTGAGCCTCTGGATCCTAACGGCTTCTTGTAGGTCCCTGGTGCCTTCCTACGGGCTTGGACCACGGGGGCAGTGTGAGAAAGTAGACGTGAAAGATGGTGTCACTTTTCCAGTTCCTTCATTTGTCTCTGAGTTTTGTCCCTGCTTCCAAACTCAACATGACTTGTCTGGAGAGAGGAACATCCTAATAAGCCTGGCAAAAAGTCAAGCCATTTGTCCCTCTGCTTCCTGGAACCTCTCTGGAAAACGCTGCATGTTTCTTTGTGGTGACGCTGTTCACCGTGTACCTGGGTCTCATGTCGGAGAAAAAGGACTTCATGCCCACAAACCCAGCTATGTTTCTATTGAACAACCCTCGACTCGTTTAGCACCTGAGTTGCTAATGACATATTTTACTAAGTTTATGACTTCATAAATGCAATGGTTAGCACTTAATTTCAAGCAATGCCAACTACTCTTACAGGATATTAATTCAACGTTTTAATAAAAAGCTGTTTGGGAGTATGGACCATGGCATTAATCCCCAGATTCTCCCAAAGACGAAGGCGCAGCTCTCTGGGCCCGGCCCTGGCTGCTGCGGGGCTGGCCGGCCGCTCTCGGGGGAACCACTCTTCAGACCTGCCTGCAACCTCAAACACGCACGCCCTTCTCATTAGAGCACACGGCACCTCTGCCCTGGAGGATTAGCTCCAAAGGGGGATAGGAAAAGTAGAAACATCTGCTCAGTCACAGCTAACGGGGACATGAGAGTTCTAATCCTGCCTCTGTCCCCAGCCCCCTTTCCCTGATCTAGGCAGGAACAGCCGACCTGAGCTGAAGCTCAAAGCCAGAGGAGCCAGTTAAAGAGTTGGGGCCTGGGAGCTCTGAGGGGCTGGGGAGCAGGGGGCCCGGGCTGCGTGAAAAGGGAGGAAGAAGGGGAAGGGGTATAGGGAGCGGGTGGAACAGGGGTGCAGGGGTACAGGGGGAGCAGGGGTGTGGATGCACACAGAAGCCAGGGTATGAGGTGTGTACCAAGGGCTGCGGGAGAGGGCAGGTGCGCAGGGCATGGGGGGTGTAGCAGGGATTTGGGGGCGCAAGAGGGGTGCAGGGGCGTGCTGCGGAGGGGGCAGGGGAGCAAGATGCTGGGGGTGGTGGTGAAGGGACACGCAGGAGGTGCAGGGGAGCAGTGATGCGGGGAGGGTGCAGGGGCACGCAGAGGGGTGCAGGGGAGTCCTGGAGGGAGCGGCAATGGGGGAGGGGGAGCGGGAAGGGGTGCGGAGGGAGCGGATGGCGGGGCGTGGGGAAGGACACGGAGGGGAGGGGCTCCTGAGGGCAGGGACTCAGGGCAGGTGCTTCTGTGCCCCCCTCTCCACACAGTACCTGGCTCCAAACGTGTTCGCTGAGCTGAAGCGGCTGGCGGAGGCCGGATCGTCGGGACCTTGGCGCACCTGTGGCCCCAGATCTCAGGGGCGCGCGTGCGTTCTAGGTTTCCTCCGTGACCTTGCCAACCTTGGTCAGCCGTGGAACTCTAGTCCTTCATGTTTCATCTTTTTCTCGTCGACAGAAATTAAAGACAGAAAAGATAGTAAACATTTTAACATTTCTTGAATTGTGGAAGCATCAAGAAGATGGAAACGTTAGTGATTTACTCACAGTGTAGACATTTCTTTGCAAACTGGTGTCAACAATCTGCCAAAGCCTTGTTTGCTGGGAGCATGCCTGAGGGTGTAGCATTTTCTGATTTAGTGATGTATAAATATTTGTAAAAGGGAAGAACTGTGTTTTTTTAATGTTTATTTATTTTTGAGAGAGAGAGAGAGAGAGACAGAGCATGCGAGGGGGAGGGGCAGAGAAAGAGGGAGACACAGAACGGGAAGCAGGCTCCAGGCTCCGAGCTGTCAGCGCAGAGCCCAACATGGGGCTCCGGCTCACGAACCTTGAGATCATGACCTGGGCCAAAGTCGGACGCTTAACGTACTAGGCCACCCAGGTGCCCCGGGAAGAACAATTTTAAAAAGAGGCTACCGGGGACTGAAACCTACAAGGGTCATCTCTCCTCCATTTTTTTCTGTACCCTTAAAACATTCCCCCTTTGGAGTCTGGAGCAGGAGAAGGGGTGCAGCCCAATGTCACACAGAAACAGCAGTTGAGGCTGGGAGAGTCACATGTTCAGGGCCCTAAACAGACCGGTGGCTGGCCCAGTGGAAGGTGCTGGAATCTCTCTGCACCCGGATAATGGGTGGAGATGAGCCCCCACATGTGAGCGTGCCCGCTCAGCATGGTGCGTGGGAGCCCAGAGCCAGGTCACTAATCTGTGGTCTGGCTGGAGCCACATACCTGTGGCTCTGGATGAAACTGCTTCACAGGGAGACAACCTTGTCCCAGGGCACCCAAGAAGGAATATTTCCACAGAGGATAAGTTCACAAAGATTCCAAAACATATCAGAAGTCCAGTGTTATGAAAAATAGTCACGAGGAGAGCCCGCGTCCTGGAAGTCATTCTCTTCTGTGGCCGTGTGTCTCCAACGCCCCAGCAGGGACCTGGTCACAGTGTGGACCGAAACCACCCAGGTGGTTGGCACGAGGTGGGACTCAGAGAGACACCACCAGCGTCCATGGAAGGCCGTCCATGGCCTCCTCTATGACCCCAGGCGGGGACTGGCCACCGCCTGTTAATGAGGATTTCATCCAGAAAGGAGTGCCTGCAGTCCACCTGACCAAGGGACCCGGGAAGTTTCACCAGATTTCATTAAACACGACCCACGGAAATGACCAGCCTTTCCCATGTTTGCAGTGAGTTGACAGGGGACGAGGCCCCTGGAGCCCTCTGTGCTGAAATGGGCTCCCGGATCCATAAGGGAGAGAACGTCCACACGGTACCTGGTTCCCAGCCCCCGCAGCTGAGCTGGGAATACGGGAGCCTTTGGAACATGCCAGACACTCCACAGAGGACTGGGGAACCAGGATCGGAAACCTCGTGGGAGCCAGGGCACCAGAAATGACACGCTTCTGGAACAGACCCCAACCCTCTCCCTCTGTTTGCACCAGTCCAGTGGGGGCAAAATCCCAGGGGTGGGCCGGACTGGCCACCGTCAAGGCACATGCCTGCCACTGACCAGTCTGCTGCAGGGACCCCTTGGCTTCTCAAGTGGGAGAGCAGAGCCTTTCAACTTGCAGTCCCACCGAAACATGCGCAGAGGAGGAGAGGAGTCCCCCAAATGCAAAACAGCATGCCGACAGACAGGGAGAGACTATTCCCACGCAGGCAAAGCAATCCAACCCAGCCCTGTCCGCGACTCCATCCTCACGGCCGTCCACGGAGCCGCTGGTCCTCGGCCAACATCCACAACACCAATGGCGGGCTCTCCACCCTCAAGCCCCTGGCTCTGCTTGCTTGCACTGGCTGGTCTCACACCTGCCCAGGGCTTAAGGATTTCTGGTCCAAGCCCCGCTTGGGTCCCCTGCCTGGAAGGGCTGGCCAGATTGGGGCCAGATCCTGAGCAGTAGGAGAGAGGGATACCCAGGAGGGATGAGGTTGGTGAGGAGATGAGGTGGTGGCAGACAGGGAGGTGGGGCGGCCATGGGTCACGGGTGAGTGGGCCAGGGGCTGCCCTCAAGGGCACGGGCTCTAATGGGGTGAGCCCCCTGGGGAGTGAGGGCTAGAGGGTGGCCTTGAAGCCAGCCAATCCTGGCAGATATTTGTAAACAGAAAGTGTTATCCTGACTTCCTCATGAACTGCCACTGTTTGTTCATTCCTTATTGCACTTGACGTTGAACGTGCCTCCTTTCTTCTACAGGTTTTACTGATTAAAACCCAACTTAAACCTGCAGCCAAGGAAAACTGTGCCCACGTAGCACTCAACCAGGAAGATTTCAAGTATGGTAAATGTGCAAAGTGTCAGAAGGAAAGACCTGGGCCGAGGAGAAATGAGAAAACCATCAGAGGGAGGAACAAATATTTTTAAGGAAACGACACTTGTGTATTGTGATATGCTAAACTATCAATGACAACTGGAGTAAAGAACTGTATTATTACTTTTTAATACACTTTAGCTTTTGGAGATTTAGGATTAGATTCACAGCAAAATGGAACAGAAAGTACAGAGTACCCCCCACGCCCCTGTGCCCCTCCAGAGCCGTCCCCGCCATCAACACCGCCAGCAGATGGTGCACGTGTTACCCTGCACGGATGCGTCACACCACCCGGGGTCATGGTTCACGTCAGGATCACACTTGGTCTTGTATATTCTGCGGGTTTGGCCAGATGCATGCTGGTACCCACCATGAGAGTGCAGTGCTAGTTTCAGTCCCTAAAGATGCTCAGTGCTCTCTACCTCTCCCCTCCCCCACCCCCCATCTCTGGTCTCTTTCCTGTCTCCATAGTTTTGCCTTTTCCAGAATGTCTTGTAGCTAAAATCATACAGTATGCATCTTTTCAGACTGGCTCCTTTCACTTAGTTACATGCATTAAAGTTTCCTTCATGTCTTTTCATGGCCTGATAGCTCATCTCTTTATAGTGCTAATATTCCATTGTCTGGATGGACCACAGTTCATTCATCCATCCACCTACTGACGGATGTCTTGGTTGTTTCCAAAATTTGGTGACTTTGAGCAAAGCCGCTGTAAACACTCATGTGCAGGCTTTTGCGTGGTTGTAGATTTTCTAAATCCCGAGGCGCATGATTGCCGGATCCTATGGTAAGTGGATGTTTAGTTTCGTAAGAAACGAACTCTCTTCCAAAGCGGCTGCACCAATTTGCATTCCCACCAACAGCGAGAGAGAGTTCCTGTTGTTCCACATCCTCTCCAGCGGTTGGTGTTGTCGGTGTTCTGGATTTTGACCATTCTGATAGGTGTGGAGAGCTGGATTATCTTCAGTGCTGGGATCGCAGCATCCAAGTGTGGGCGTGGTAGTGGTTGTTTTCATCTCTAATACTGTTTTTATGATTAAATACCTAGAAACATCTTCCAGTTTAGAGGAAGCACTTGTCATTATGAAACCAGGGTTGACTGGTGCAGATTGGAGAGGGAAAATCATCCTTTTACTGCACAACAATCAGCACTCTTGTCACATGGAAATGAAACATTACAACAAAAGATGTTTTATATATATATATATATATATATATATATATATATATATATACATACATATATATATATATACACACACATATACACACACACACACAGATATATATGTAAGATGTTAAGATGTTACATATTTTTAAAAACTCAAAATGCAATTTTAAGTTTTTTTCTTAAATGTTTCTCTTTCCTTTAATGCATGCATTGCCACACCCCATAAAGCAATGGGAAAAAAATCAGATTTAAACAGGAAAGAACAGAGGCTACATTCGATCTTAGCCAAAAGGCCAAGAGGCAACTGCACATATAATTCAGAGTAATGATTTTCAGTGATGTTTTAGGGAGTTACAAATATAGAAAAACAGGATGTTGTGACAAACTCATCAAGAGGTGCTAGGTGCTAACGAGAAATTCCTTTGATTCAGGGAGAGGGAGAAAGTGCCAGTGAGTTCAGGATCAGTGGCACAGCTCTTCACTGATTCACTCACGGAGACAAGACAGGCTTCATCTTGGAAAAGAGGCTCAGGCAGGAAGCCCCTGGAGCCCTCTGGACCCCAGTTCCCTCTTCTGGAACAAAAAAGAGGGGGCTCATGATATGGTAGTCATTAACTTTGCTCCCCTGTTAGATAAATACGGACTAACTTATCTAAAACCAGGTATGACATTATTAAGGTACTTGAGACAATGAGAAATGGTCAGTCCAGCCTCAGGCTCTTGTAGAGGACACACTAGCTCTGGCCGTGGGGAAGGAAGGTGCAGCAGGCCTGGGGTCACCACACACTGTGGGCTGAAAGGAAACTAGAGACCCCTTGAGATGCCCCCTTAGGCCCCTAGCGTGCTTGCTCCGGCCTTTGGGCTTGCTTCTCAGCTCGGTGTTTCCGCCATTTGGAAAGCTCCTAAAAAAGAAATATTCCAGTATTTTGACATGGTTATTTCAGAGATAGCCTGGATGCTAACATTTTTTTTTTTTTTTTGAGAAACATTTACTTTCACGTAATCAGAACTCCATCCTGGTATTATCAATCACTTTGGAGAAATTGTGGCAAATTTGGTGCTTTTCTTACAAAACCATGCAAGCTTTGTGAAAACCTTCCTTCAATCATGATCTGCTGAAATGGTGTTTGTGAGGTCACTTCCATACAAGAAATGTAAAAAAAAAGAATTAACTGAATCATGTTATCCTCCTCCATGACCCCAACCTCCCCCACAAACAATAATTGGAATTGTTTCAAAATGTCTCCACCCCTACACAATGAATTTTTGACGAAGTAATTTTATGGCGCTTGAACTTGATCAATAAATTCTGGTCAATACCATTGAAGGTGAGTTTGCCTAATATGGCGGCCACATCATTGGATCCCAAATGTCACTGGGTCAGTGGGGGCTGCACACAGCTCATCTTTGTGACCACAACTGAGTCCTCAGACAAGTAAATCAAGACAAAGTCATTTACCAAAGACACATACAGAAGGTCTTTTGTTTGTTCTTGTTTTTATCTGGTAGTTTTCTGATCCTGAAGCTTCAGTTTCTGAAGACATGAATTTTATCTGTTAAAAACACCCATAGATTTTAGAGCGTAAGGTAAAAGTTCTTATGTTACAACATGCAACTGGGTTTCACTACTTTTTTTAATCATGGGAGAAGCCAGGGGATTTATGAGATCTACCTAAGACATTAACCAGACTCCTCCTCTTCAGTCTCTGACGTGCACAAGAGAGATGTATAACTCCCAT